AATTTAACTTTAACAATTACACAACACATCACATCAACAAACAACTAATTCCATTGCATTACACAACTACCCCACACAACTACTCTTACATCCCACCACACCGCCACAGCACCACATCTCAGAATTTTTTCAACGCCCCATACTACTACGCATTCAATCAAAAAATAGCTACGACAACATTTAAACTACTCCAAAATGAAAACACCAACAGCTTATATTGACAACAACAACACATTATCATCAACAACAACACAACAACAACATCAACAACAACATCAGCAACAACAACAACTACTACTACAACAACAACACAGCATTAACTAAACAACTACTACAACAACATCAACAAAATCAACAACAACATCAACAACATCAGCAACATCAACAACAACATCAACAACACAACAACAACAACATCAACAACATCAGCAACATCAACAACAACATCAACAACACAACAACAACAACATCAACAACAATGACATCTCCAACAGCAAAAAATGATACACCCGTCAGCAGCAATACAGACAATCTCATGCCTCCATCGATTCAACATCATAAGTTACAATGAATAAAACCACCCAGTCCTACATAGGACTGACCCTAACATAGGACTGACCCTGACTCACTGGATGTCCTTGTTTGAAACAACAGGCGCAAATACATTTCATATATTTAACAGAACAACAACAGTATACAAATACAACAAGCCTCTTAACATTTCAACGACCCGACAACAATTACAACAACACAATTGCAGATGACATCTAGGATTGTAACACTACGTCACTTTACACCAAAAACAGTCAAAAACAGCATCAACAAAACAACATCAACAACATCATCACCACTAACTAACATCAACAACAACATCACCACTAACATCAACAACACAACGTCAACGAAACAACACCAAAATGCCAACAACGCAACACAAAACAACACCAAAAAACCAAAACAACAACAAAAAACAACAAGACATCAACATAAAAGGATCCAACTTGAAGCACGTGGTTAGACCAGTTGGAATGACGCGTGTGTGTTTGTAATTCGTGTCTCATATAGTGAAATCCATCAAAGGACCATCGGATCCAACTTACATTCAATGAACCGACATTTAAAACACTTTAGAGGCATTTTATATCTAGGTGCACTTTTCCAAATCCTTAACAATATTTTTTTCCAGGCAAGAATCTACATAGTAACTTGCTTTGTATTGCTGTTGCAAGTCGTTGTATACATTAAACGTTAGTGCAAATTTTCGCATAATGTTATTGGTTTTGATGCTGCATGTTGTTGTTGTTGTTGCATGTTGTTGTTGTTGCATGTTGTTGTTGTTGCTTCTGCATATTGTTGTTGTTGCATGTTGTTGTTGTTGTATGTTGTTGTTGCATATTGTTGCATGTTTTTGTTGTTGTTGCATGTTGTTGTTGTTGTTGCATGTTGTTGTTGTTGTTGCATATTATTGTTGTTGTTGCATATTATTGTTGTTGTTGCATATTATTGTTGTTGTTGCATATTATTGTTGTTGTTGCATGTTGTTGTTGCATGTTGTTGCTGCTGCCGCTGTTGTAGTCAGCAGTCGCTTAGTGGTCCGCAGACTACTGTCTTTTGAGGACCTCCATCACCATTTCTGCAGTTGCAGCTTGACGTTCGCTGAGTTCCCCGAGCACCAGTTCACCATGATCAATCAGACTGTTGTTGTTGTTGCTGCTGTTGTAGTTTTATATTTTAGTTTTTTTTTTCAATTTGTTGTAGCAACTGCATATCACGATAACTGTGTAAGTTGTTGATGTTGTACCTGTATATATGTTACATGCTGCCGATTTTAATTTCATTGAGGCGGTATTGAATGAACTGTTGTCGCTTTTTGATAGTACTTGAAAAATACTTTTGATTTACACATGAATATTTTTATAATTTGAATTTGCAGAGTATATGAACGTAAAATTTTTATATTTAAATCCTTTAGATGTATGACTTTTGGTCTGAGTCCACTAAAAATGTTATGTAATGATAACAACAACAACAACACAATGTTATGTTGTGTTGTTGTTGTTTGTTATTTGTAAATTGATGGATGCTTTTTTTAACAAATTAATTTTTAAATCAATTTTAACGGCCATTGAAGCTTAAAGACAATGAAGATTATTGCAAATTTTCAGTTGAAATGGGTGTTAATCACAATCAAACCAATCGAAGTGTACAAGTCTGAGAAGTTAATTGCATGGGTCTTGAAATCTGCACGAAAATGCTGTCCAACTGCATTTATGAGGTTATCTGTCAAGCTCTTCAACCATTCGTATAAAACTTGAAATTTTTCAAAAATTTTTTTTTCATTTGTGATAGCAGATTGCTGTTGTAATTAGTATCACTGCTTTAAAAATCTGTTAAATTTTATAAATTTCAGAATCAACCAATCGATCAAAAAGCAATCATAACTTAGAAATTAACTTAAGCACCATTTTTTGGTTGTTTTGTATTAAATTAATGTAACTTGGTCGATATGAATATAAATTTGCTTCTGTTATTAAAAAGTTATTTATTGGTCATAAGAAACGTTTTTTCTAGTTTAAAGTGTGTTAATGTATGTGTGTGTGCGTGCGTGTGCGTGCGTATGTGTATGTGTGTGCGTGTGTGGTGGGTGTTTGTTTGTTTTGTGTAAAACATTTCTCAACAGAGCAAATTGAAAACAAACATTGCGAACCGACACGACATGGAAGCAAGTGCACTGTGACAAATATCTTGTAAATGTTTAATGTTACTTGATAAAAAGTGCTCCATCCATATTTTGAGACCTCACAATTCATCCATAATTTTATTTTTCATAAGTTTTTTGTAACCTCTTTTTCTTCTGAATTATTTTGTGTGTAACTTAAAAACATTTTTCTAAAGCATTCTATCAGTTGGTCCAAAGTAAATTATTCAGTTACTCAAATGTGTTTCTATTTTTTATAGTCAAAATATCCGGATGGAAAACCATTTCGAATGGCTTACGTTCAATTAACTTTACTTTAACTTCCATGTTTTTGCAAATCTGAGCAGAGTTCATTGTGATATGAACCGTTAAATCAGCAAAAAGCATGCACTAAGACAATTTTTGTAATTGATTTATTTTTCAAAATTTTCAACGAAATTAAAGATTTTGTGTGACCTTTTATGAGAAACGGTTTTTCTTTCTAACTTTTTACACAATGAGTAACTATATAAAGATTTTCGAATCTTCGTAACAACATTTCCTTCCATTAAAAATTTCGCAAAAAATAAGCAACCAAAAATACCGGTGTTGTCGTTGGGTTATTTTTATGATTCATAAAAAATCATTTCCTCTTGGTTGTCTCTCGAGTTGTCGTTGTTGTTGTTGACACGTTGTAGATGTAGATGAACAACATTCACGGGATGAAACATTGCAGGCAAGGTGGTCCTACTCCTCTAGACCACCTTTACACAACAAGCAATTCTATTCTATCTGCCCATACAAGCCTATCATATGCAATGTGTATGATGCGTGGTTTGCACGCTGTGTGTGTTTGTCGTTGAAACCTCAGAAGCAAACGCAAAAGAGAGAGAGTAACCTTTAACCTTTATTTATCAACTCATGTTGTTATTTATCTGAGTTATGTGCCCGAAGACGATACTTGTTTTGTTTGGACCATTCCAGAATGTCTTGTTGTGACTCGATGCAGACTGTTGTATTGTTTGCAGGTGACGATGAGTGGGTGTCATGCATTGTCCATGAATCAGCTCAACAGCAGGAAAGGACCTGGTCAGGTTGAGTCGTAAAAAATATTTGTTTGAGATTTGTTTGTTTGCACTTTTTGTTTATGCTGATTATGAAAATAGGTTTGTATTTCGACTGCTTTATATTTATTTATGTTTATTGCATGTGCTTCTTCGTGCGCTGTCCTGCACATTTTGTGTCGGTTGAAAACATTTGGGCACGACGGAGGGATGTGCTTGCTGATTATCATTATCATTATTCTATTTTATTCTACTTTTCGTGTTCAAACATTTTTCTTTCTCCGTTTTTTTGTTTATTTATTCGTTTAATTTTATACTACTGCTTTGCATGCTGTAACAGTTTCTGCGCCTGTCAGTTCCTGATTTTTAAAAAATGATAAAAAAAATTGTGAGGCAAGGTTGCTCTGCTGAATTGTATGTCAAGGTCAGTGTCAAGGCCAAATGTGGATTGCATCATTTGGTTTCAAATCATTTGTGAGCGCTCTTTAAAAAATCTCAAAAGCGCTAGGGCATACGAAAGTACATCGCGTAGCATTATTTGAAACAACATTCGAACCCACGATCTCCTGCTTACTAGGCAGGCGCTTTAACCAACTAAGCCACCCATACACAAGTAGAGTAATAAAAGTAATAAATTGATATTCCCACTGCTAAACTGTGCGCTTCAGATTTTGGATAATGAAGTCATCTACGACCTCATAAAAGGCCGAATTTCACTTAACAGCTACGCAGCGTCCTCGCCGTTTTGGTAGACAATAGGCTGTTGATGATATTCATTTAATACGGTTATGACCGTTTGCAGACATTTCTCAATTTTTGATGTAAAAAATTTATTACTTTTATTACTCCTCGCATATCAAGGTGGCTTCGTGGCTTAGTTGGTTAAAGCGCCTGCCTAGTAAGCAGGAGATCGTGGGTTCGAATCCCACCGAAGCCTTTTGCCTTAAAAAAAGCTACGCAATGTACTTCTGTAATTTTGAGTTTATTCAATTATCTCGATGTTACTGCATGACATCAAACCTTGTCATGAACAACAACTGCACTCTTCAACATGGTTCGACTTTAAAACGTAGCCATCTGACGCATGAATTTACATGCCCTCTTGACGGCTGCTTCATATATCGGAGTAACTACAACATCGCTAACTGGGCGGCTGACCATGCACAAAATGGAAGGTTCCATGAAGACACACCTAGAACACACACAATATTGAAATTACAAAAGAAACCCTGGACAACAACACCAAAATAGTATACTGTAATTCCAGCCATTCCTATCTGAAGTTAGCCAACTCCATCCTCATCGACATACGACAACAACTGATAAACCAACAACAAAAGATTTCAACAAAACTTCGGACAAGAAGAACGATATTAAAATATACTAACAACTCCAGTGATGCCGATAAAGACACTGAAAAAAGTAGCATCGACCAAAGTGCTGTCAAAGAGCAAGTAAATGATACCAATGAAACTAGCACAATAAAACATAACACCAAAGCAACCAGCCCGAACGAAGAAATCATATTAATTAGTAAAGAACACAGTGAAATTAACAAAGTGACTTATAAATGCCAATCACAGGAACAAAGGCCTGGGTTATACAAATTCTCTATATAAACTGCAACAAGTGATAATTGAAAAATCGAAATAGGTACTATACACATTAGAATAAATTAGAAAAGTGTATATTATTCTAACTTTATTAAAATAAATAATGACAAAACTTTTGTTATTTAACCTTGATCTATCTGATCCTTCCAACTACCGTCCTATTTCCAACGTTTCAACTTTCTCTAAATTACTTGAACGCATTGTCTTGAACACGACACTCACTCATATTACTTTATTTCCTAATTTCTCTCCTTTTCAATCCGCTTACAGAAAATGTTATTCCTTCATGTTCACGACCAACTTGCTAACATGTGGAAACCAAATTGTGCTGTCATGGTCAGCCAGGATCTTTCAGCAGCTTTTGATACCATTAATCATAAGAAGCTTATTGACACTTGAGGCAGAATATGGCATCACGGGATCTGCCTTATCTTGGTTTCAATCTTATCTTTCAAATCGTTCTCAACATATTAAACTTGGTTTCCACTCTTTTTTTTAGCTTTTTTAGCTCTTTATCTACTAGAGTTTTTCAAGAGTCTGTCCTTGGTCCCATTCTTTTCACTACTTACACCTTTCCTATTTCTAATATCATTAACACTTTTGGCTCACTCTTTCATCAATACGCTGATGACACATGTCTAATAGCTAAAATTCGCACCTCTAATCATATATCTCAGCTTGACAACTTAAATGCATGTACTATGGCCATAAACGGTTAGCATTTATCAAATTTTCTTTACCTAAATCTCCACGAATCTGAAGCAGCAGCTTATCAAATGTTTTCTCACTGGAGATACTGCTTCTGCACTGGCTCGATGTTACGAACTATCACGTTTAGATTATTGTAATTCTCTTCTCTACGGTCTTCCCTCCTACTTTGAACTTTACTTTAAAGAGCTGAAAATAGAGTTGCAAAAAATTGTTCTAAATATCGGTAATTTATTTTCCAGCACAGATTCACTCATTCAATTACATTGGTTACCAGTACGTCAACTCATTATATTTAAACTCGCCGTACAAGTTGCATAATACATCTCAACCATCATATCTTCCTCAATTTATATCGCGTCGTTCATCAACCCGTCAACTTTGTTCGTCTTCATATATTCAGTTGCATCAACCTGTCAGCAATTCATCCGTTTACATACAGCTCTCTTTCCATATGGAATGTTCGCCTGCCATCATTCGGGAACAACCAACCATCAAACTTTTCAGGAAACGATTAAAGAATTTTTTGTCTATCCAAGCCTACGGAAAGGTCAAAAGTCATTGTTTATCCAAGCGTCCCTGAAGCTATGCATAGTAATTAATAATAATAATCATTACATCATCATAATGCTTGAAATGGGGCATGCCAATTATTAAAACAGTACTATTAAAATAATAGTAATTAATTAATTAATAATAATAGTTGTTGTAGAAATAGTGCCGTAATAAGCAAAATAAAAATGCCTCAATAATAAATAAGAAGCAGTGACTTCACGAAGAAATGAATAATTGTTTGCAACGATCTTTCGTGATGAGTGACTGAATGAGCACCTCTTCAACAATTGCTCGTCGGAAGACCATTCAAATGAGATTAACCTTCTCCATTGTACTTCTTTACTTAAAAAACGATTATTAATTATTAATTCTATTTAAATTATTTTAATAATTTAGACTTTTAATAATGTATGTTAAATTGTTTAAAAAAATTTATATAATGAAGAATGATTTAGTCACATTATGATGGTGATTAAATGACAAGCTCCTGACGAGCACCTTTTATTTGCTTTCATATTTTTAATCAATTCAACATCATTTGCATCAACTTGCAACAATTTACAGCTAAATAGGTATAATTATTCCGGTTATAAAGACATTCTCAGGGTTTTATATTTATTTGTTTCAATTTCGTATTGATAGCACTTGTACTATTGTTAAAACTTCCCACAAGAAGTTGCCTCAAGCAAAAATTCGTCAGTATCTTTGCGAAACCTTAGCTTCTACTTGATGCTATTTTTATTTCCTATTGTACTGTTGTAATGTAATGTAGTTGTATTATGATGTACTGTAATGTATTGTATTGTATTTAACTGTTGTAGATTACAAGTGTTTCTTCCATCCACATTGTCACTCATGTTTTTTAGACGTGTGCTCAGCTCCACCGTTTGTACTAAAGAAGGCGTACGTACGATTAATCTGCTCTCATCATAACAACATGCACATGTGTGTGTGCCTTTGTGTGCACCTGTGCATACATGTAGACGCGTGTGTGTACACATATGAATATGTGTGTGTGTACACATATGAATATATGTGTATGCGTGTGTATGAGAATGCATATGAACTATTTTGTACAATCTAAATTTCTATTCAAAAGTAAGATTTATGTTACATTGCTTTTGAGCTGGTAATAATATAATTGTAGTGTTAAGCATATAATATAACATAATATAATGTTGTAGTGTTAATATAATAAAATCTGGTGTTGACATCTGGGTACAACCACAACATATCAATTTTAACACCGAAGATGGTATAGGAATACAGAAAGAAGCTCTTCTTTTTTATCCTGCTTAATATAAATTTAAATTAATTTTGGTTTTGAACTCAAAAAACATGACAATGATTTAAGACGATCTACCGATAGAAAAATCTAAAAAGTTAAATTCATCAATAATTGCATATATTTGTGTGTGTGTGTGTGTGTGTGTGTGTGCTGGAGATTGAATTGTTGGCATTGTACATTGAAATCGCTTGATGTTCCTGTAAGAATATGCAGTTAAAGATGACAACGAACTTTTTAAAGCCCTATGAACGCTTTTTACATGTAACCTGAAATCTCAAATTTGTCTGAGAAGTTTTTACCTCCACACATTTGAGTACGATTTATGAACATACGCAAATATGTGGAATGTTTAGCAACCCCTTCTACTCGCACAAGTACACACACACACACACACACATATATATATACACACACACACACATATATACACACACAAACATAAATACACATTAAAAACATATTTATTTTGACATAAAAATACTTTATCGATTTGTACTTTATTGACCTTCACTGATTTCATTTATAATAGAGAGCGCTTTCGAGAAATTTTAATTTTATAATGCGCTTAATAAATTGTTGATAATAATAATAATGCATTTATATAGCGCTAATATAAATATTAAATTAGTCTAAGAAACGCTATGCAAAATAAAAGCCTAAAATTTTGTAAACTTAGTAGTCATACACCTTTACCTTACCAGGCAGTGAATAGTTTAGCATCAGTTGGATTGTTGCTACTGCCGAACATCCAATCCCTGATGCGGACAAACTCTGGCCAGTCAGCAGGCTTCATTGATTTGTACAAGGAAGCGTATATGCAAATATGCAAACTCATACACAGAGACAAACAGGCAGACAAAGGCAGACGCATAAAGACACATACGAACTGTGTATTGTCGGAGTCGGATGAAAAAAATTTTTCCATTTTTGCGTCATAATTTCACATTATGATCACTACTAAATGAAGACTACTCTAAGCAAACACTCAAAATCAGCCAATGTAATCGTTTACCTTAGTATAATTACTTTATTTTTATGTTTTACAACATACTGAAAGAAATTATGTGATTTTATTCACATTGTTAGCATTTATTTCCACTATTAAAAATGATTGCTTATCCCTACATATGTATATATATAAATACATATGTAGGGATATATATATATATATATATTATATATATATATATATATATATATATATCCTCTAAAATACACAATCATAAAAAAATTCAGGAAAACACATAAAAATTTTTTAAAAATAAATAACATTTTCCGTGTAAAAAAAATCCGACTCCGGGCTCTCAAAAAATACCGACACTGCATACCGACACACGGATGATCAAACATACACACACACACACACACACACACACACATACACACACACACACATACACACGCGCGCGCGCGCTGACATTCCCATAGACTGAACTGTTTCCAAGCACTGGTTGTCTTCAGATGATGAATGACCGAGAAGACATGAACTGATGATGATGATGGTGAAGACGATGGTGGGGGTTATGATGATGGTGATGATGACGGTAAGAATGATGATGGTGATGATGACGATGATGATGATGATGATGACGATAAGTGATGATGAAAATAAAGATGATGAGGAGGACGATGAAGATGATGGTGGTGATGAAGATGTGTGTTGTGTAGGTAGGTGCAGAAAATGTGAATGCTTTGAAACAACAACAACAACAACAACAACAACAACCATGCAAAGACAGCAAAGCACAGAAACAGTGGGTATATCGTAATTTATCCAAGTTGGATGATGATGATCGGATGATACGTGAGTGTGATGGTGATGATGATGGTGTGAGTGTGGTGGTGATGACGGTAGCAATGATGATGATGATGATTTGTAGTTGGAGTGGTGATGATTATGATGGTGAAGATCAAAATGGTGATGTGGCTGGGTGGTGACAACGAAGATGATGTTGAAATATGAGCCGTGCCGTTGGCAACGACAAATGAACGCCACTGAATAACTTGCTATTAACTTTTTAATGTTCTTAATGGCGGTGAGACCAGGAATAAGCAGGTGAGTGCACCTCAGAAGCATTAAAATGTTCTGTAAATCTGAAGAAAGATGTTTTAAAAAAGTACCAACAGTGGAAGGTGAAAGAATGATTATCTTGTTTGATGGGAAGGTTCAATGGGAAGTTTATGGAGTGTAGTCGTAGGCATCAGTTGAATTGTTTGGATTTGAAAGATGTAAAGTGGTGGCTTAGAATGTAAGTGGCATGCTATTGTCACGCAACGTCGTGCTCTGATCGTATTCAAATGCAAGGAAAACTGACTGCATCAACTATTGACAACTAGGAGCTCAAATATATGAAATATGTGGTGTCTTGTTTAGTGCTACCTCTAGTACACTGAAAATTTGTTCATTTTTTAAAACTTGAAAAGTGTTAAATAAATGTTACATAGTAACGAGGTAAATCATTGAAAGAGGAACTGTTTCTAAACTCAGTTTATTTGTATACAACTTTCTTATTTAAATTTCATAGAATTTGTAACGTAACTTGTTAATGACTAACGAAAGTAAAAAAGTGTTTTGTATGTCTTATTTAAGAAGGAATATAAAGTAACGATCAAATGCTGTTGTACATGCTCAGCGGAATGCAATGAATTTCTTAGTATTAAGCACCGTGAAGTTAGAATATTTCTACAGAGTTTTCACCTAAAGTTGATATAAAAAATCTCTGACGAGGCTAACAAGGAGGGGACATCTCGGACTGCCCGATCAGGAAAACCATTCGATGGTTGTTGTTGGTTATCAGTCGTAAGTTCGACTGTTCCATTTTTGGATTTTCCGTAAAATTCCATGAAATGATTTAGCTAGAGATTGACCATTCTTCTCTATCTAACTGATTTTTAGTGTTCCAATGCATCCAAGCTGGTTGCCATTCATTAGAGCTGCCGGCTATCTTTCTGAAAAACTTAAAATATCTTGAAAACTAACTTATCTTAAAAACTTCAAATATTTAAAATTTCTGAAATAACAATCCTGTAAAAATTTGTTATTTTAATTTTCCATTTTGGGTTTCATTTAGCGTCAAGCATATACTTAAAATACCTATACAGAACTTCGAACGCACCCGCATACATTTTCAGTGCGCTTTAGAGTCTGGTCTCATTCTTTAGTTTCCATTCATCAATCTATTCAAATTTTACAATTTTCACATTTTTTCAGTTTTATAAAAAATATTTATTAATTTTTTAAAGATTTTACTCATTTTGATCATTCTTTAATAGATTATTTCTTGAATTTGCATAATATTTATACATATTTAGTATCTTTTTCCGTTGTACGTCTGTCTAGCCGAGCTGATTTGAGATCGTCGTGATGGACAGGTACCCCCTGGCGTCGAGTCCATTCTTCGAGTATCAGAAACTTCTCATTACAACAGTTTTCTTTTCATCATTGGTTGTCATCGGGCACGTTTTGTTATTGTCATTGTATATTTTTGCTTTTTTGGTCTACTTTTCAATTTGTTGTCTAATTGGCTTTTACTATGAGGGTTTTTTAGAAAAATAAATATAACAACATAAACAACATTATAACCAACAACGTTAACACAACAGCGGCAACAAAAACAACAGCAACAGCAGCAACAACATCACTACTACTAACTTCACCATCAACACCATCATCACAGCATCCTTAACTTTGCGTACTTCCTGGTTACTTTTTCTTATGGATTTTATATTTTATGACCGCAAACAAACATTTTTAGGCAAAAATGCCAAGTAAAGGCCAACATCATCTTCATCAGCATAACTATCGATATAACCATTATCATCATCATCTTTATGATCATCATCACAATCATCATCATCATTATTACCACCATTTCACTCCTTCCACCATCATCCTCTTCATACTTTATAAATATATATATTTCTTTTTAAAATTGAAACATATATATAAATATATTAAAAATATATATGCATGCAATTATTGATCTAAATCACAGCATGTTCGGCGTTTTCGATTTTTCTAACGGTTGATCGTAAATCATTTTTAAAGTTTCTTTAGTTAATTTTTTGTTTATTTTATGCACGATGGAACAGAAAAGCTTTTTCGGTATTTCTATACCATCTTCGGTCTTCAAATTGATATGTTGTGTTTGTGCCCAGGTGATCAAATAATGGGCTGTGACGAATTGATCACGAGCGATGATAATTTTGATTAGTATCTCTTCGCCTACCACCCACCCCCGTCCCCTCTATTCTGCACCGCACACACGCGCACACACACACACGCACACACACACACGCACACACACACACCACACAAGCGTACCTTACAAGACGTGCAATGCAATCAATAGACAAGGGAGGTCTAATGAAGCTCAGGATGACGTCATCAACTTGCCTCAGGTGGTCTCTTTTTGTCCCCATCGTCATATTCTCATCATCACATTGTAATCACCGTCATATTTTTTTCATCGTCATCATATTGTCACCATCATCATATTATCATCATAATATTTTCATCATCATACTGCCACAAGAGGCACAAGAACTGGACTTTTTGTTTAACAACTAACTCCAGATAATTATGATACAAAATGAATGCAACAAATAAATGAAACTATTAGCTTGATTGAGACAAAACCGATAAGTTGATCGACCCCCGTCTGTCAGACAATATATTTAAAATAAATGGACGGGCTCCATAGATTACAATTAAAGTTGTACTTCACAATTTCCGTAGTTCATAATTAGGTCAACCTAAAAACTTTATTTTAGAAATGTTTTTTAAATTTATAAAATGATGAGCCATAAAGTTATTTTTTCAAATTTATTTCGAGTTCGTAGTCCAGAACAACTGATATGATGAAATAAAAGATTCTTCTTCTTTGCCGGTTTAAAATATTTTTGCAGCTTTGTTTCTTTGACTTCACGGTTTTTTAAACAATCTTCAAAGGAAGGAGGTAGTTGAGTTGGCTGGCTGAAGACGAAAAGAAAAGACTGGTTTGGTAGATTCGTTACTGGTTGAATGAAGAAGTCGGTTTCGCTGGCATTAAGAAATTTTTATTTTTTCTTGTAACATCCTGGTTGCAGTCTGATAGTATTTTGACTGCCTGCTCATAAAGGGGAACTCGGCTTAAAAGTGGAATTTAAGATGAAACCCAACTAACTTGCAGTAGTTAACATGTGGTTGCAACTTTTTCCTTCATTGCGTAGATAGAATTTGTATTTGTTGATTGAAGCCAGACCTCTTGCGATCTTCGAAGCCGCGTTTTTAATGTGAGGTACAAATGTTATTCGCTGATCTTGGTACATCCATAGAAATGTACAGATTTCAGTCTCACACTCATGTAGTATCATCATCATGTTGTTATCGTCGTCCTATTGTCAAAATTGTCATCGTTATTAAATTTTCATCACCATCATCATTTTGTCTTTGTCATCATATTCATCATCATCTCATTGTCCTTATCATCATCATATTTTCACAGTCATCATAATGCCATCACATCATATTGTTAACATAATGTCATCGTCCATTTCCCACTCATGTCACAACAACATTTCTACAGAACGAAACAGCAGCAATAGGCAGGAAATGTTTGCAAACTTTAATGTTCAGCGAATGAAAATTTGAAGTATCCGCTTTAGATAATTAAATGGTATTTAATTTTTCTTTAATGATGTTGGAACATTTTGCAAGCAAGTAGCTAAATCAATAGCGGGGTTTGTATGGCGCGCGCTCACTTGCACCCGCCTTCGTCTCCTTTATGCGTCAATAAAATTCAACATGGCATCTTTTTATTGTTGCCTTATAACCGTACTATTTTATTGTAATGGTGCATAATGGTGTCTTTATTTGGATGGCAGCACGTGCGTGAGGCTGGCGAGATAATGAAATAATTTAGCTGCGTAATGAAATAATGAAGCCAGCGACAAGCACGACTGTTTGTTGAGGTGTGGCCAACGAGTTCAGCTGCATTGTCAGTTTAATCTGTTGACGTCAGTTGACATCTTAATCACGTGATCATTAACTGTTTAATTTTTATTTATACAAACGCCAATGGAGTTTATCATAAGGATATTAATAAACAGGGCTAACTAATTGTGCGTGACTATGATGAATGCAGACAAAAGAACTGACGAATTAACTAAATAATATAAAATTATACAATGCGAGCAAATTAAATTGTCAACAAATCTACAGGCAGAACGAATGCGTGAAAGCAATCAAGCAGCTAACTGTTCGACCTAACTGACAACATCGATTACAGTTTGTTGAATTGGAAACATTTAATAAAAAATTATTTCGGTAATCACAAAATAAATAAACAAAAAACTTCTAACAAAACAAAATGTCGTGATGATTCAAGGAAATAAAATAAAATTGTTTTGTGCGTTGTAGTTGTATGTTGTTGTTGTTTGGATGAAACTAGATGTTGCTGTTGTATGTTGAGGATGTTGGATGTTGAGGATGTTGGATGTTGATGATGTTGGATGTTGATGATGTTGGATGTTGATGATGTTGGATGTTGGTCTAAAGATGCAATGATGTAGGATGATCATTTTGTTTTATGCTTCACATTCTTCATCATCCATTCCATACCGTCCTGTAAAGTTTATGAGGACATATGTACGATGCCTGCCTGCCTGCTTGCATTAACATCAAGATATTCATCAACATCGTCATTTTAGTTTTACCACTTTCGTCATAATTTTGTCTAAATTCCCATGTTATCAAGTTTCGTCATTAAACATGTTAACGTTAACAACATTGTTGCAGTTGTTATCATTATGATGTCATCAACATTGTCATCAAGGAGGCAGGCAGGCATCGTACATATGTTCTCTCAAATCATTAGGTCGGGTACAGGAGTACCTACCCGGCACGGTTCCATATTTTGTAATTAAAAATCAATCTGCTATGAAGCGTGATCGTCCATTCATTCGATAGCTACGAAGTTAAAAATATTACCGTTGAATTTTAAAAGATTTATTCACAATTTCACTTACATGAAAACAATAGAATGATAAAACCCGAAGTTTAGTACATCCGCATATTGTTAAAATAAAGAAGACGAGAAGAGTCAATAAGCAGAGAAGAAAGAAAGAGGTTAGGCACATAAATATGTCAAAGAATGTAGAATGTGGGTTGCACGAATTGACTTTTATCTTTAGCACAAATCCCCGCATGAATGTTAGTAAAGGAGGATCAGCTATCTCGATATAAATTTGTTTTTAAAAATATGTTAACATAACCAAACATGTTTTTATTATAGAAGTATCCTACGTTATAATGTATATTTGTTTCTCTTTATGTTGCTGATATGTAGTAAAAGAATTAACAGAAATAGATTAAATAAATTTGGATTAAATAAATTTGTATTAAATTAGAGCTTAATCTATTCGATTATAGATAAGGATGTAATATAACGATGTCTTGTGTGTTAGCTCAGTCGGTAGAAAAGCTGAGTCTCGCGCTCTTATTATGCGATGGCCTAGTCCTTTGTAAGAGTGACCTGGTTTGAAAACATGAATGTGAATACTGCGTATTTCAAACGCATGCAGAACGCTCATGCGTGGCGTTCTGTTGCGATCAAAGTTTGGTGAGCACCGTTAAAAACTGAAAAACTGGCGTTTCGCATATGACAGTGCTTGGCTGTTTGGTTGGTTGTTCGGCTGTTTGGTTGGTTAGTAGCTTGGTTGGTTGTTCGGCTGTTTGTTTGGTTAGTGGCTTGGTTGGTTGTTTGGTTGGCTGTTTGGCTGATGAATAAAAAGCATCAAAAATTAGGAGTTCATCTCGCATTTCTATCAACCACCAAAAACCAGTTTGAAGTGCAGAAGCATATTGGCTGCTTATTCATAATTTGTTCATTGATCCCATCACTGCAACAAATAAAAGAACCAAACAAACAATTGATGATAAATAATAATAATAATAATAATAAATAATAATAATACTAAAAATAATAATAATAAAGAAGGTGGATGCATGAAAAAATACTAGCAACCAGCAGAACATCATACCTTAACCCCTTCACTCGTAACAGCAGAACATGGCTGGATTTGCCAGTGCCTGTCTCTGATGGAATGAAGATTCAGACCTTCGGCAATGTCACTGGCCTTTGCTGAGTTGACGAGATCTTGCTTGTTGGCGAATATCAGGAGGGGGACGCCTGTCAACTTCTCCTCGTCAAGCAGTTCGCCGAGTTCCTGGATGGTGCAAACGAGGTCAGACATTCATCAGCGAGACGTTGCAACGCGGAGTATCAATCAATCAATCAATTGAGAAGGTTAACCGAAACTTCAACTCTACTGAGGCCTAGGCATAGTTCAAATGCATGCATACATGCGCTACATGTATTACTTATCAATAACATACGATGACACCATACTATCATCATATAGTAGGTACCACCCTGTTCTTTTTATACAACACCACATGCCAGCTAGGTGGGTATGACTCCCAACATTTTCAACCATAGCCACGGGCCTCTTGCATTGCATACAAACCTCCAGACATTATATGCACACGCATCATGCAAACGATTCACATTGTTGTTGCAAAAAAAACTAAAAATGAAGCAATAAGTAAATACATTTTTGTGAAAATTAATGCAATAAAAATTTTAAAACAAGTATGTTGTAAGATATATAAATTAAATTATTAATAATAGTAATTTGTTCGAATGTGAAAAAAAGTAATTGGAAACATCACCATTCCAGTCTCTTCAAATCTTTTCCTATCAGCACTGTCAATAACATATATCTGAAATTTGAAAGAACGTTTCGTTCAGAGGCCATCACTCCATCTCTTGGGTTTCTCATTTATTTATTATTAACAAAAATTAAATTATATAATAAGGGCGACTGATGCAGCAAAATAACCGCAACCAGATTTTAGCCCGAATAATTTCAGATGCAATCATATTAGTTAATGTTATGGCAGAAATGCATTTTTTCCAACTTACTAGATTTATTTTTAATTCTTCAGTTTCGAAATCTCCATGGACACCCACCCACTCAAGAAACTATTAAAAAAATATTGGATCCTCAACATCGTTCTTTCTTTCTCTCTTACAATTTTTTCTTATGCATTTCTAGGAGAAGTGTCGACAACAGACACGCAGCACATGTGAATTCATGCATCATATACACTGCCTGTGAATTCATGCATCACGCACACTGCACGTGACAGGCACGCGGAGAATTCTTTGCATTCAATCCCAGTCACTGTAACAGCAGAGGCAAGCACCTTACCTCAATCATTACACCATCAGAACAACCAAAGTGTTGTGTTTAATATTTAACAATCCTCACCAAGTCATAACTGGTTTGCATAAAGATCTTTCAATTTTCATATACACACAATTTTATATTTTTTATATTCTAGCTTTTGTTTAAATAAAACTTTAAAAAAAACAAATAAATTGAAAACAATTTTAAATTTGTGTGATGAATGAAAAACTTTTTTTCGTAAATGAAAACATGAGAGAACGAATCAGATGTCACAACCATTTATTTTTTAATTGAAAACATCTCACCAAGACATCTGTGTGCTCAAAATAATTCTTCCAATAAGGTCGAATGCGACGTTGACCACCGATGTCCCAGACGTTCAACTTGAATCCAGACGACTGCACACTCTTTATATTGAATCCCTGAATTTTATTCCAGTTCATTTATACATGCAGTTAATAGCTGACCGTTGTTCAAATAATTTTTTCAAGAAATTAAGGCAAAAAAGTTAAATAAAAGTTCTAAACATTCATAATACAAAAGAGCTCTAGACAAACAACAACCAGGCAAATACCCTCCTATGAAAGGACGACACAAAATGAATCAGTGATAAGAAATGAAGAGTAACAGAGAATAAAAGGATTGTTATCCATAATGAAGGAATGACACATAATGAATGAATGTATAACACATACAACCATTTTATCATAAACATATTGTTTGTACAAAAGTTTATTTGAAAGGTAATTGAAAAATATAATATAGTCATTCAATCAATCTTCGTTTTGCATCCAGATACCCGGTTCCCCGAGGTAGGACGTTATATAAAGGCTAATTAAAAAAATATGAAATTCATTTTAAATTTAAATAGAAAAAATAATACATAATATACACTTGAGTTGGAGTTATCTGGTTGATGTCCTCAGATGCCAACTGCTTCAATAGAGTTGTCTTTCCAGCATTGTCCAATCCAAGCAGGAGGATTCGCAGCTCTTGCTCGGGATTTGACTTCAGCTTTCTTAGCAGCGATAAAAGACCCTTATTAAATTTTATTGCAATTTTAATAAAATTAAATTAAAACAGATCATTATTAAATTTTATTTCATTTTTAGATTAGACACCCTTATTAAATTTTATTGCAATTAAAAATAAAAACAAGTTTAAATAAAATATTTTGTAACAAGAAAAAAGACCAAAATGAAATTGAAATGATCATGGAGGATTTATTTCAATATGTTATGATTATGCTATATTATTTAGCTAGTTTGTTTGTGTTGTGTATTCTTATTATTATTTATTCTGTGTTTGCTTGGTCTGCCTCTTTCTTTCTTTTCTTTGATTTGAATTTTGATTCATTGATGTGGTTTGAAAAGTCTGGTAGCATCAAAATTAAATTGTTCTGTGTCATTTGAAAAAACAAATTCTCAACAAAACTAGCCAACCATAATTGGATTAAAAAGTTTTTGCTGGACAGATAATTTTACAGACGATTAACTTGACAACAAACTGAAAAATTTTACTTGAAAATAATCGCCATTTAATAACACTGGTTGCTATGACGACAAGAAATGTAAAATAATTTAATTTTAATTAAATATTTTATTTTATTACAAAAAATTTAAATTATTTTTTTTTAATTTTGTTATATTTTAAATTTTAAAATAATTTTTTTTATTTAAAAAATTTTTATTGAAAAATTATTATATCTATTAACTTTTAAACAAAACGTAAATATTTACACGTCGCGGTTTCTCGTCGGATTTGGCCGTGTGTGGCCTGCTGGCGATTGCGAGTAAAAAAGAGGGGAAGGAATTAAATTAATTAATTAATTAAAATTAATTAATTAAAATTAATAAATCAGGAAAAATCGGTTTGGTAATTACAGAAAGAAAGGAAAATAATTTAATTAAAATTAGTAAATTGGTCCCTACCAATTCAAGTTGGACCCAATCAGCTCAAGTTAGGTAAGTTCATTACAGTTAGTCCATATTAAGTCTATTTGAAATTCAGTCAATTTAACTAAATATTTTAATTTGATTTTTTTTATTTATTAGTTGCATTGCAAATCAATTTTTAATTATAATAATATTAATTAAAATTAAATAATTTCTAATCTATTTAATTAATTATTTTATAAAATTAATTATTAAATTTTAAAAATAAAAAATAATTTTTTTTGTTACTTTATCCAACAAATCATTATTATTTACTTTTATAAATTATATTTTATTTATTCACCTTACTCACTCAAAAGTTGACTATTCATTTCAATTGAATTGAGCTATTTTTGTTTTAAATTTAATTTTTGGTCAGTCAACCAATTATTTATTTTTTCCTTATTTATTAATTTTTATTAAATTAAATTATCCAAGTTATTAAAAATGTTTGTTTGACATGTCATACAATTCGAAACAAACTACCAGGAAATATAATAAAATAATTATTAAAGTTTAGAACTGCAATTAATTGATTCACATTTCTTTTCAATTATAATTGAAAATTACTTTATTTAATTAATGAATTAATTAGTTTAATAATTAATTGAATTCATTCCTACATGCACGACCTGACTTTGTCTGCCTATTAAAATGTTCAGATCTCAGATGCTAATGTTGAGTTGTGGCTGGTTGTGGTAGTTATGTTACATGACCATCCACATTCCACGAAGATGGCCCTAAATAGGAAGACCATCGTCTCGACTATCGTTGTCCTATTCCTACTCTGGAACCTTCTGTCACTACTCTACTTCATTTCCAGAACATTTGTATATAAGGTGAGGATGGGCGTGTTCTTTTAATTTTAATAAAAATTATTTTTAGTTGAATAAAATATTTAAAAATATTTTTAATTTTCAAGCATTTTCAATAATTAACATAAATAATTGTTATTTCATGCACACACCAAACTAGGTTGCATTGTTATGAGTATATTTTTCTTTTAAATTTAAATAAATAAACAAATAAATGAATAAACAAATAAATAAATAATAGTAATAATAATAATAGAGTGTCACGAATTTGATTGTTGTTTTATTTTATTACACGGTTGTATAAGATTATTATTGTAAGAATTTCATTGTCTGAAAAAATAAAAATAAAAGATAAATAATAAATAAATAAATAAATATTTAATTTGGGATAGATAAACTTTCGAAAAGTAAAACAATCTATTCACAGGAGCAGCTGAATAATAAATATATAATAAGTATTAAAATAACAAATAATATTCTTATATGTGTGTATTGTATATATATGTATGTATGTATTACACAACAATCAAATTAATATGGCTTCAAAGTGTACGAAAACAAAATGTGTGAAATTAGGAAAAGAAAATTTGCAATGCATTCAATGTATGTATGTATGTATGTATGTATGTATGTATGTATGTATAATAATAATATCAATAATTTATATAGCACTAATTAGATAAAATTCAAAAGCGCTCTCACACATTAAACATATCAAAAATCAATAGTTAAAGGATAATACATAATAATAAGCAAAATCAAATACCCAAGACGAAACACAAAAAACAGAGACAATTGATATAAGGTGATAAACAAATATCAAAAATAAAAAATCAACTGTCATGACAATCAAACATTTTGAAATCCAGTGAAAAAAAAGACACATATATAAATCAGCTATTATGGAAAAGACTCTTAACAGACACACACACACACACACACATATATCATAACAAGAGTTTATGTAACGCCAATTAAATAAAATTCAAAAGCAAACTCAACGTTAAACACAACATGAAATATGGATAAATCAATAATCCGACGGTAGATGATAATACATAATAATACGTAAAGTCAGAAATGAAAAACAATAAATAGAAACAACCGATATATAAGATGACTATCTAATAAAAAAAACAAGCATCAATTGGCAAGACAATAAAACCGTTTTTAAATCAAAAGAAATTAAATATATATACACACACACACACACACACACATACATACATCATCTCATAAGAAAACAAAAATGTTTTAAGTTCTTTTTTAAAGCGAGTAATGGACAATCCTGGATCTCTGAGATGGACGGGAAGGCTGTTCCAGACAGTTGGTCCAGAAACCGCAATACTACGTGAACCAATACATAGATTGGCAGTCGGAACTTTTAACAGATTCGCAGAAAACGATCTTAGACTAGACCCATAAGAATCTACTGAGTACCTTTTAAATTTATCCTGTAAGTATGCTGGTGTCAGGCCATTCATTGATTTATGCAACAAGACTGATATCTTGTAGATTATTCTTTTATCAACTGTCAACCAATGCAAACTTTTGATTATGGGCGTCACGTGATCATAGTAAACCACCAACCACTACTTTTGCCATACGATTCTGTAGAGACTGCAATATCGCAGTAGACCTCAGGGGTAATCCATAAAACAAACTATTACAATAATCAATTCGCGAATGGACAAATGCATGAGCCAAAGTCTGCAGTGTGGAAACGTCCAATGAATTGCGAATTTGGTTAATCCTTCTAATCTGTAGCATACAATCTCTAGAGAGCATTTTGAAGTGCTGTTTCATCGACAAGTTTGAATCAAATATGACACCCAAATTCTTTGCCTTATCACAGAATTGAATTACCACGTCATTGACAAAAATTGAATCAGCATCTAATCTGGACAGCTGTTGCCATGTTCCAACAGGCAACAATTTAGTTTTATTTTGATTCAACCTTAAGCCATTTTTCGACATCCATAAATTAACCGCCAACAGACAGTCCACCAGTTTATCCAGCTCAGCCTGAAATGAGCTAGGTGAACCACTGACTATTATCTGAATATCATCTGCAAAGGCATGACTCGAGAAGCCGAATGATTCAATAACCTTAAAGACCTCAGACGTATATAAGAGAAATAGCAATGGTCCAAGAACTGACCCCTGAGGAACACCAAAAATAACTGTGGTAATATCAGATAATTTTCCACCAAACGAAATCTGCTGAGTTCTACCAACAAGATATGACTCCATCCACTCCAAAACCACACCAGAAATACCAAAGTTACAATGCAACCTATCAAGAAGAATTCTGTGATCAACGCAGTCAAAAGCGGAACTCATATCCAAAAACGTAAGGAGTGATATCTTTTGTTGATCCATTGCCATACAAAGTTCAGAATGGACCTGCAATAATGCTGTTTCAGTCGAGTGGTACTGTCTAAATCCGACTGATTGTAGGGTAGCAGATTGTTACACCTTAGATGATCAAGTATTTGTCTAGCAACCATACGTTCAATAATCTTCGAAATAAAATTGAGGTTAGAAATCGGTCTATAGTTATTGATATCTATAGCATCCATACCACTCCTCTTCAGAATAAGAAGCACAATTGCGTGTTTACACGCCTGAGGAAAACGACCAGATTTTAAGCATAAGTTGATCAAAGATGTTAAAAACGGAGTGAACAGGTTAACGTATCTCTTTACAACATCAGTCGGAAAAATATCCTGTTGACATGACTTAGCTGGTGCACTTTGTATCATGCTTGTAACATCATCCTCAGTCACAGCAGTAAATGTTGATAGTTCTTTAAACTGAACCCCAGTTGCGATGACATCCAGCCTTTCTGAGGGCGCCAATCCGTCCTTGACTTTAGATAATTTTTCCACAAAAAAATTCATGAACTGATCTGCAGTTAACCGCTCAGCATCATAGCATATGCTATCCTTATTACCTCTACAAAGGATCTTATCTATTACCCTCCATAGATTCTTAGGATTACCTTTGTTATCATTGACAATGACGGTCCAGTACTGACTGCGTTTAACACCAAATATCCTGGATTTTTCATCTAAAGCTCTTTTCCATTCTTCTCGATGAATAGATTGATGACTCCTTCTAAAAATTCGTTCTTTTTCCTGCATAATCGCTTCAAACGATAACACTCATCATCAAACCATGGGGCAACACGATCCCGTTTAGTCAAGACAGTTCGAACAGGTGCAATTACACCAGCAATTCGTAGAGATTCATTGAGAAACAATTGAAATTCAGCGTCAAGGTTGTCACTTATGCAAGGTCTCGATATCGCGGATTCCAAAAAAACTCTAGTAAAGCCGTCATTGTCCATTCGATTCCAGGATCTGATTTTTTTGCAAATATTAAAAGAGTGGTTACGAGTAATTGACAAAGCTACTCGAATAAAGCCATGGTCAGAATAAACACCACTAGGATGGACCGAACAGTCTATAACTGGAAAATCTACTGAAGTGACCACTAGATCAAGTGTGCCACCAAGAATATGAGTTGGTTCCTTTGTGTGATTGACTAAACAATAATTTTCGAATATATCCCCCAGAGTCGCCGCGTGAGTGTCACTACCTCTTTCAACATGAATGTTGAAATCTCCTGCCAGTACTATCCTAGAATTCAAAACCGTTATACTATCAAGAACAACCGTTAACTCTTTAAAAAACAGCACCGAAGGTTGAACCGAACCCGGTCGATACACAGCCAATAATATAAAATCCTGTCGATCAATAATAAGTTTAACTGCTAAAACCTCAAACGTAGTGACTGTAGGCACAACAATCCGTCTATACTTGCAAGACGGTCCAAGAAATATTATCAAACCTCCATGGAAAGGATCACCAGCCCTAACCGCATCTATAAAACGATAACCCGGAGGCAACGATAATCCCACTGATAGGCTGTCAGAAGATCCATGCCAGGTCTCTGCAACAACAAATATATCCAATCCTTCAGAGATTAAACCAAAAATTACATTAAACTTGGATAATATAGATCTAATGTTTAACAAACCCAAATGAACAGTAAATTTAAGATCATTATCAACAGATAAAGTTTCGTCAGCATCACCATTAACACCACCAAAGCCAACATTATTTCCATCGCCACCAACATAAACCTGACCAAAGCCAACTTTATTTCCATCGCCACCAACATAAACATCATTAACAATATTGATATAACCGTCAACAGATCCAATAAAATCTCCACCAACACCAATATCCCCATCACCATCAACACCACCATCAACACCAACGTCACAATCAACATTTCCAACGACATCAACATCATCATCGTCTACAGCGCCATCGCAACCATCAACACACCCATCAACATCAATATCACCAACAACAGTAACATCAACATCTCTACCACCAACAAAAACCCCACAATCCAGACCACCACAACCAAAATCACCATCCACATTAGCACCAACAACAGAAGAAGCGACATCAACACCACCAACAATATATGCATCACAATCAACACCTCCATCCACATTAATAACACCATCAGCAACAGTAGAAAAACCAAGAACATCAGCATCTAATTTATAATTTTTTCCACTTTTGACATCGCAAAAGTCGATTTCTTTGGTAGTCGTCTTATTCTCAAGTTCCCCAGTTCCCCAGTCACTCGGTATACAAAATCCTGTTTATCTGCTCTATCTTTATCCTTTTCTCTTGCAGTCTCAATCAGTTTTTTACAATCATTTCTCTGCTCCTTTGTCAAGTCATGCCCGACGCTGATCCCCCTCAAATCTTCATCAAGATTCTTCAGATTTGACAAGTTTTCCATAATCAAATTTTTCAAAGACTTAGACTTCAGCCTGACAAGCAGCGGTCTGGTTTTCTCGGTTTTTTTGCCCAGTCTAAACTGTTTAACAACATCAAATTTATCAACTTTGTCCTTTAATATTGTTCCAAGGATACGTGAAATGTTTTCATCATCCTCCCTTCTGCCATCACTAACACTCAGATCAACATTTTCTTTCAATCTAAAGATTATCAAATTGCATGATCTTTCCTCAATTTCACTGATGGACTGAATTGTTTCCTTCGTCTTTATGACCTCCACCTTTAATGCTTGGATACCATCGTTCATGTTAGTTACCTTGTTATTAACCTTCACAACGTTTGCGACTACCACATCCTTCAGGGTATCTGCATAAGATTTCTTCAGATTCTCCTGGAGTGTCGTTATTTTGTCACCAAAGTTATTATCAATTTCACCACTGTCAAGTTTGTCCTGTATATAGTTAACTTGATCACTGATTTTGGCATTGCTCTCCTGTAACTTCCTTATTTCAACAGACATCTCATTCAGTTGACTGTTTAATCTGAATAGTTCAATTTGCCCAATGCAACTGTTGCACATCCATACAAAATTATTAGGTTGCTGGAGCTCCTTCATAGTTGAATCAGACATGCCAATACATCTCCAATGGACAGCTGCTGAGCAACAAAATCTGCAATGTAGTATGTCCTTTGCTCCGGTAACTTTATTACAAGTTTGGCATTTATTTTTCTCAGCCATTATGGTCCTGAAGCGAAAACTTGTTCAAAACAACGAACAACTTTAAAATTTTAACATATGACGCCAAATAAAATTATAATAACTTGTTTTAAATTTAAAGATTTAAAAATTCCAAGAAAAAGCTGAATTTGTAAATTTCCACGAGAAAACCGATAAATCAACAAACGTCAGGAAAGCTAGAAAACGTATGTATGTATGTATGTATGTATGTATGTATGTATTGACATTGACATTTGACATTTTTATTTCATCAAATCAAAACAAAGAAATCAAAGAAATGATATCAATGAAAAGAAAATATGGTTTTCTTGTTACCAGTGACAATTGTAAAAATGAGAGCGTATTTCAAATATTTTAGTGCATGTAAATTCATTCATATTAAAAATCCTAAAAAACCAAAAATGGAATCATAATTATTAAGTAATCAACTCTTTTACATTTTTATCAGAATGTTGTTTGCAATTATTGAAACACAAATAATTGTATGTATGTAGGTAGGTATGTATTTGTATATATATATGTATTATTATTATAATTAATGTTCATTTATATAGCGCTAATTAAATAAAAAATCTCAAAAGCACTCACATAAATAAAACAGCATACGAGTGAATGATTAAAGAAAAATACTAAATGTTAAACCAAAGAAAATAATGTATGTATGTATGTATGTCTGTACGAGCCCATGGTTAAAAACAATTCATTCATTCAATGATCCTCTGTAATCCCTTAAGGGACCGTTGAGGCCGATGGTATTCTTCTATCTCTCCAAAATCCTTTTCTTTCCCTTGCCATTTTCATTGAGCTCAATGTTCCAACCCCCGTCCATTCCGTGATATCATCCATCCACTTCCTCACAGGTCTTCCAACTTTTTTCTTCCAGTCCCTCTTTCTCATCAGTACTTTTTTGATCAGTCTGTCGTCTGTCATTCTGCAGATATGCCCAAAGATACCCAGCTTTCTTTCCTTGACACTTTCATACACAGTTTTTTGTCTTCCAAGTTGTTTTCTTATGGCATCGTTTCTTATCTTTTGTCTCCAACTGATTCCCAGCAACTTTCTATAACAATGCATCTCGAATGCTTCCAGTTTGTCTTTGTCCATACTTTTTTTGGACTACCATCGTGTTATTAGGGTTTTTACGACAGTGTAGCAAGCTCCTGTCAACCATTCCTTTCTATCCGGACTTTGGACCGGCACCTGATATTACTGGACCGCAACTCAGGTGGTGGAGTGTGGTTTTCTGTCTGGATTTGCTCCCATAGCCTTTCCCATGAACAGGTATGCCGCAAGGCAGCGGAGGTTTGAAGTCAGAGTTTTCCTTCTCCTAGGTAAATAGCCGACCAAGGCTAACGAACTTCACCTGCCCGAAGCCCGAAGCAACTGGTTATGGCGCCAGTTATTCACCTTCGCCCCTTCTCCTGTTAGTTTAAACAGATCTGCCGCGTGAAGGCTAGGAGTTGGGCTTGGTTGTCAGAGGCTCTTTGAGACGCTTGCCATATGGGAGCATTTTATAGATGATGGGAGCTTATCCCCTTCACCACCCCCGGCATTAACAACCATTCAGAACCAAAACGAACTTAAAAACAATAGCCACTAAAATCTATCATTTTCTTCCCTGCTCGCACTATTTAATATTGGTTTTTTGGTCTTGCAGAGAAGGGCATTTGGCATTATTTTTAAGAATACAAAAAATATTAAATTTCTGTAAAATTATTGAAATATTTTGTTTAACATAAATTATGCCATTAAAGTCGCCTGAAATTTCAACGATTTTGACGCCAACAGTGTTAATAAAATGTGTGTTCTTGTCAATAGGGCCGAACGTTTCGATGCAGACAGGGATAAAAATTTTTGTATCATTCTTCAATTCCTTATATTTGTTATTTTTAAAATCAGCTGCTTTTATGGCAGCCGACCCTGATTCTATAGATGTATGATTAATGTATCTTTCTGCTAATGTGTGAGGGAAAGTGACGTCCCAAGTCAGGCAAAGTCCTTGAGACTATGGAACCAATGTATATCTATCAAGTCTAAAATTACTATCAGGGATCAAACCTGCCGATTCTTTGATGGCGGGAATATTTGCTTTCTGAAACAAACGAAACAAATAATCATTCATAGCAGTATGACGAGCCTGCCTGCCTGAGCCGAGCTTACATGAAAGTTCGTTTTAACCCAGCGGACAAACATTTGTCCCACACAGGCATGTATATTTGGAAAGCAATTGGCAAACCATGCCTCAACCCCAAACTCAATCTGATTGACGCAGCGTCTAGCTTTATACCACAGGCAGTAATTGGTATTGCTCTCAGCCATGCTAAGTTTATTTCGCTCTTTACCGCCATCAACCTGGCTTTATTCTGTGGAGAATTGCTGGAATTCTCTAACGAGGAAACTATTTCAACAAGATGTGGTCCATTCCATTTTTTCTGGGAGCACACATCAATGCTAACTGTATCACCGTACATGGAGTGCCAATTTGCTTATGTTTCCAGTCTCAACTGATCTTCGTAAACGACCTCTGCTGGTAACAGCATGTTTTGAAGGGTTATTGTTGCCGCAGCAGAAGATAAAAAAAAATGGTGCCAGATTAGCCACGACGCCCAACCCTAATCCACCCATACTTATTGGCAAAGTGGCCGGCGCCATCCATTTTCATCGAAAAAATTATTAAAAATTGACTTTATGGTATCGCAGTCAAATTGATCAGGGATTTGTTTTGACGGGCTCGGGGTAGTTCTTAGAAAATATGAAAGTTTAGAGTAAATGCTCCTTGAGTCAGTAGGGCGAGGGCATCATGTTTGCCGATATGGGCCATTTTGGATATGACATACTTCTACTCGTCGTGTTTCTTGGCCCAGAAATCGTCGTGGTATCTACCCCTAAAAATAATGGCACCTAAAAATTAATTCGTACTTATGTTTTATTAATTTTGTGTGGTAGATTAGGTGATATAATTGAATTTGTGGTAATTTCACACTTATTGATATTAAGTTTAAGTTCGAATTAGCAGCTACTATTGATGATATGTTCCAAATCATCGAACAAGATATCGATGCTACCACCAAGCGCAATATCATCTAAATACGCTACCTCAAATTTTGACTTAAACGATTTGATTAACGGGTCAATCGATAATGAGAAAAGGAGAGGTCCCTAAGGATCTCCCTGCTGCACACTCTCAGCTGAAAAAACAGTGTTATTGCCGAACGAAAGAAATGAGTTTAAGTCATAGGCCAAAAAACAAAAATTGTATATCTTTAGGATACGATTCTTTACGCATATTAACATGTGGTCTCGACGATGTGTGTTGAAAGCGTTAGAAAAATCGAGTTTCAGAAAGCCTTCGCCTGAACTCATATTGTTCACAAATCGTCGGACAGCGTGAATTGCTCCCTCCGCATCGCTACTAACTCCAACCCCCACTTGTTGTGGTCTAAGGATTGGGGATATTTTTTTTAACAACCAGCAGGGCGCATTTTGCAGCCCAACGTCTCCGCATACAACCAACAGCGATTGGCCTTATTCCACCATCCTTCTTGGCCAATGCCTCCAACCTCCTTTCAAAAAAACGTGGCACCACTTCAGGGGGCCAGGCACTACTCAGAAGCAGGTTAACAAAGAACGTGATGGCGCCAACGACCTCTTTTGTCTCCACTTTATCGCGAGTTAGATCTCTCAAATGTTGTGGCGTAAATCCTTCTCTTCCTCCGGAAGTTCCTTTCGGAAATTTGCTGAAATGTAACTGACACACTTGCAGTTTTTTTTTATCAGGGCTGGGCTTCCTATCAGGGGGAGCCGCGGGGTGCTTGGCTTGAAGGGCACTCAGTGTCTCAGTCGAGTTAGGAGCCCTGTTGTTATCCTGTTCTATCTTGCTTTTTATCAACGCATTCGGATTAGGTTTTCGTACCCTATCTTTTTTATCTTTTTGTCCCTCATCAACCGACCTTGTGATTTCCTCAATAGAAGCCTTGGCAAATGTATCCAGCCTTGAATTTATTTTAACCGATATTGTGGTTTCTACCTCCCCTGTGTTTTTTACGGAGGACCACTCGTGGATGGAACAACAACTTCGACCAAGCTTAAACATCTAAAGAGTGGTCACAGATATTTTTTAATATATTCGTTAAGATTTGACCAAATTTAATTTTTGATTGTTTGGGTATGTGATCAATTTAGACGGAAATAGGCGCTCTTGTTAAAAAACTTGTCAACGAGCGTGAATTTATCTCTATCATTCACTGATGATTTCAAATTTTTACCGTCAACGCTTGTGACCGAGATGTTGCCAACGCGACCACTCAATGACTTCCGTACGGCAGCTGAGGGCAGCTTCTTCAATGACCCCAAACATTTGGACCCTCTCACCTTCCTTCCGTGCCTGATAAACCTGCCATCTTGTCTAAACTTGAAATGTTTAGAACAAACATGACAACTGGTGAGAGTGGGTGGATTAGACACAAAACTTTGATTTGACATAAATGGTGCTGTAACAATATATATGGAGAAATTTGGAGCAGTTTGAAATATTTTAAAGAGTTAACAAGACATAGAGGCAGAGAGAATTACTTATTCAATAGAGTCGAAAATACTTGGAACTCATTGCCAGATGAACTTGTTGAGGCACAATCAATGAACAAATTTAAAGCCGGCATTGATTGTTGGATGAACAACAATCAATCAACGAATCAGCTATCGATTGAAAATAAAAATTTATTTGATGAATAGTCAACGTTAGTTGATATTGAATGACCGAAAATGGAGAATGTTGATTTTGAAGAATTAATAATAAGTTTATTGGTATGGAGAATTTATATAGCGCCCCTCTAAGTAAAACTCAGAGGCGCTGTTCGAGAAGCTGCCGGTCAAAAAAGTGATGTTTGAGTCGTTTTTGGAACATGTCTCTTTCATCCATACTATCAACGACATCATCGGGCAGTTTATTCCAAACCTCCGCTGCAGCCACGGAGAAACGACGCCGTCCATAATTTTCTGTCCTGAACCTAGGAACAACGAGTTTTTTTTTGGCAGAGGATCTGAGTTTTCGCCCCCGGCAGCCGTAGGGACAGGCACGATCAGCTGTTTTATTGTTTGCAAACCATTCTTCAAATTTCTTTAATTCATTTTTTATCAGAATGATTTCACTTTGTATATTTTTTGATGCGTAAAAGATGTTTGTGGTGTCAGCAGCATACATAAGGTTCTTGTTGAAGTACACAAATTCTGAATGCAGTATGACAATCATCATCATTTTCCGAACGAGTTGCTGATTTTTAACCACAGGAAAGACAGAAATGTATTTGACGTCAAATCGCTGGAAATGTTCTTCAACTGTCGCCTTGATGCAAGTCCAAATGTTGCCCAGATACACAACTGCTCTTTTCTCAACTCCTTTCACTTTGAATTTTCCTCCACTGTCATTGAGTTTACTTATTGTTCTGTTAATCCTTGGAGGAAAATCTTTTTTACGTTTTGCAAATTCATTATAATTATTTTTTAACGAATTGTTTATTATTTTGTAATTAAGTGGTGTTTTTTTAATAATTTTATTATCATTTATTTTGTAATTAAGAGGTATTTCTTTAATAGTTTTATTATCATTAATTGAGGATAACTCATGAAATTCACTTCCATAATTCTCAGTCTGCAACAATTTCACATTAGAACCGGTGATTTTTTCAGATATGTTTTCGAGTTTGTTGTGTAACTGTGAGACTGCCATATAATTTTTATTCAATTTTTTATTCAGTTTCATTAAATGTTCACTAATTGACTTAGAAGAATCCTTAGCTAGTCTAATAGGAACTCGGTCAATGTTGAAAACAGAATAAATTGGAATTAATTCAGACAGTTTGTTATCAAAAATGTACTTTACCAAATCAACTAACTCACATAACTTGTCCAATTTCAAGTTTCCTCGTGCTTTAAACATCAGTTTATCCTTTTTAATATTTTCAATTTCAATAATTAATGTTTTTTCCCATTATCCAATTCACCAACAGTAAACAATTCAGAGGCCTCGTTAATAAAACAATTATCGTTAATATAACCGTTATTTTTGAACAGAAACTGCAAAATTTCGCTAACGCAAACACGTCTACCAGCCGCCATGCTGAGAGCATAGACGATAATTCACGGACGTAAATTAGTATACAAGTTTGTGAATGTCTGCAAAACCGTGAAAAAGTGAAAATTTTAAACAGAAATAAGAGAATTCAATTACAAAATAAAATACTAATTTTAATATAACGTAAAGGTTGCAATGTGCCACAACTATTTTAAAAAAATTCAAGCTCAAAAAACTACACTACACTCCACACACACACATGCACACACCATACACACACACACACCACTCGCATACATACAACTCAACAGGATGACGACGTAGATTTGCAGAACAAAAAGTTGATGGAGCTGGTTGAGGAACTGAGGGAGAAGGCTCTATTACAAAGCATGACGAACGATCGACTCATACTCAGCTTCCAAGACGTCATCAACAAACTCAACAAGCTCAAAGACCCCTCTAACAATACCCTTCTCACCGATTTCCAAGGTATTGATTTCCAATGTTGTTTTTTCATGTTATTATTGATGCTGTTTTTTGTGTGTCTTTTTGACAATTGTAATGACAATTATTGACAATTATAATGACTGTTCGGCTGTAATCTTCAGTTCTGTTGCATTTACATTCTATTTGTAATAATCACGTCACACGAACGTCGGTCCGACCTTCCTCCTTTTCCACCACGTCCCACCAGCTTTCCAACAAAACCATGCAGACGTTGTGATTACTTTTGCCATTATTGTTATTTATTATTATTTTTATTACTACCATTATTGACATTGTTGGGGTTGATGTTACCTCGACAGCAACAGTGGAGCACCGGAAAGCAGCTGACGTCATCCCCGTCCTAGTCATGGCGTGCAACAGACCTTCAGTCAATCTCATCATCAACAGGCTTCTATTGTAAATCTGTTTGTTTGTTTTTTATTTGTCTGTTTGCCTGTCCAGCAGTTATTTTGCATAGTTCCATCCAATTAATGCTTGTTTGTTTGTTTGTTTGTTTGTTTGTTTGTTTGTTTGTTTGTTTGTTTGTTTGTTTGTTTGTTTGTTTGTTTGTTTGTTTGTTTGTTTGTTTGTTTGTTTGTTTGTTTGTTTGTTTGTTTGTTTGTTTGTTTGTTCAGCATTTGTCACATGAACATGTTTTCTCTTTTCTCAACACGAAATATATTTTGCTGGCTAAATTTACTTTTGGTTGTGATGAATTGATTCGCTAAAGATAGTGCACGACCTTGACCCTCGTCAGGTTGCGACCTTCACTGAACTTTCCAGTAATCGTGTCGCAGGATTGTTCGTCGCAGCCGACCACCGATGTCATCAAGTCGTTCGGCGACAAGATCGTCTTCATGCAAGTCAGTCACCGTCCTACAACTCTCCTCAGCTCTCTTTCTTCTTCTTCTCCTCCCATCTAATTGTTCTTATCATTTTTAGCTACTCAGTCATTTAATTATTCATTATAAATAATCAGGAAATAATTACTAATACTGAGAAAGTCTGCTAATCTTAAAGAGGCATCCAGTTCAGTGCAGTTGAGTAGCTGATATGCTCTTTAAAATATAAATGAGTCAGTGCAATTAATTATAATTTAATTGCATCAAATAATTGTTTATGATAATAATTATTTGGTGTAATTCAACGTATAAACAATCAAGTTTTACTCTTTAATGTAATTAATTATTGGTGTCATGTCATTGCTTGTTGAAGCTTGTAGTTTGTTTTGTTTATAAATTGGTCTGCTTCTATAATTTTGCTGGGCAGGTTGCTGTGAAAACAAAAACAATTGCCACTGAGAGGTGTTGTTGATGATGACGACGATGATGACGATGGCAGTGATAATGGCGGTGCATTTAATAATTGTTTGCATATTTGTTTTCATATTTGTTTATGTTTTATTGACGAGCTAACTGGTTAACTGTTACAGTTGTGCGTGCGTGTGTGTGTGTGTGTGTGTGTGTGTGTGTGTGTGTGTGTGTGTGTATGTATGTGTGTGTGTGGTGTTTGTGTGTGTGTGTGTATGTCCACCAAAAATGAGCTTCAGCTTTAGAAGCAGTTATGATGAAACTAATGATAGTACTTGTGACATTAACTGGACTTTTCTTCATTAGTTGTGTGCTGTTCAACACCTAAAAATTTCAAATGTACAATTCAAAGTTAATTCTTCATTACCTGAACGATAAATTTCAACTTGTGCTTATAATGTTTACCCACAATAACATCAACACTGAGAAAGGATGTTGATATTATGTTGATATCATTATCGTCAGATTCTGAGATTCTGATTTTTTAAAGGCCTAAAAAAAACGAACAGCAGCCGGACCTGAGCGACTTCAAGCTGCCACAGAGGCAGGACCACATGCAGGGCTACTACAAGATCGCTCGCCACTACAGGTGGGCCCTCAACCAGGTCTTCAGGAAGTTCAAGTACAAATCCGTCATCATCGTCGAAGGTTATTATTATTATTTATTATTATTATTATTCCTCTGCTCTTCATCATCTTCTTCTCTGATGATTTGTCAGATGGATATGTATCATAGATATGTGTCATTTGTATGATGTATCATTTATATGTATCATTGATATCATCGTTTATACGTATTTGTCAGATGGATATGTATGAATGAATGTTGGCCAACAGACAAACATCATCGTCACCATCATGTATAAGCATAAGCATTAGCTTAACACACTAATATAATGTGAAGTCAAGTTTGCTGATAGGTCGAACACATAGTAACACACACTACAATACAAATGATACATACAAGTGATACATACAGGTGATGCATAAAAGTGATACATACAAGTGGTACATATTAGTGATGCATACAAGTGATACATACAAGTTATACACACAAGTGATACATACAAGTGATACATACAAGTGATACACGCAAATGATACATATGAATGATACTACAGATGACCTCGAAATATCAGACGACTTCTTTGAATTCTTCAGTGCATCATACATCATCTTGAAGTCCGATCCGACCTTGTGGTGTGTCTCCGCCTGGAACGACAATGGCAAGGATGGACTCGTTGATGAGGACGGTGGAGGTGAGGCGATGTTGTTGTTTGTTTGTATCTATGTTGATGTTGTTTGTATCTATGTTGGTGTTGCTTGTATTTATGTCGATATTGCTTATATCTATGTTGATATTGTTTGTATCTGTGTTAACGTTTGTTTGTATCTATATTGATGTTGTTTGTATCTATGTTGATGTTGTTTGTATCTATGTCGATGTTATTTGTATCTATGTTGATGTTTTTGCATCAATGTTGATATTGTTTGTATTTGTGTTGGCGTTTGTTTGTATCCTCTGTTGATGTTGCTTGTCTATATAGGAATGTGCATCGGAAAGGCCATGTACCTTCCAGTTATACCATCGTACGCTTCTTCACAATATTTAAAAAGAAATTGTAGAACTTCTCTTTGGTTATAATTCTTGGGTCATTTTTTACATTTTTTAACTCAACTTATCTAACTCAAGTGGAAATAAAACGTCAGTCTCTGAATAACTGCTTCGTGGTACACCTCTCAAGCCTGTGGCATTCTCATTAGTTCGTTCACGTCATTAGGCCGAGAAGCAGCGAGTTAACTTTAAAACGACCGCACCTTCCTCCAACCGACCCACCACCACCACACAGCCGTTCCTGCTCGTGGCTGCCACAACAAGTTCAAGATGCTACACGTTCTTAACCTTACGAAATATTCACTTCACTTCTCACGATGATCATCATCATCAGTTCTACTCTAGACTGCATCCCGTTCGATTTCTCCTTTCTCTCTCTCTCTTTCTCTCTCTCTTTCTCTCTCTTTTCCTCTCCTCCTTCTTTCTCTCTCTCTAACAAAACTAATAAAAACAATGTGAGGGGTGGGGTGGAGGTTTAGGTTGAACTTTGATAATTTTTGTTTATATCGTAATATTAAGCTCTTTGTCAAATAAAAATAATAAACTAATGAACTTTGGACGCATAGTCATGTAATTTTACAAATATTCACACAAACATACAAACAAACATGCATGCATGCAGGCATACAAACATACATACATACATACATACATACATACATACATACATACATACATACATACATGCTTACATGCATACATACTTGCATACATACTTACATGCATACATGCACATATAGATATACAAACATGCACACATACAAAAAACGCGCATTGTATATAAACATCACACACACACACATCCTAGCACAAATTTACACATCTCTACTCAAGCCCAGGTGCCCGCTTATTTACACAAAAGATATTTTTCATCTTGATAATTCAAACTTTCCATGTACCAAAAAATTATTTTCTTATGTTATTGCAATATTTATTATTTGGTTATTATTATTATTATTATTTATATTATTTATTTTATATTGTTTGTTTGTTTGTTTGTTTGTTTGTTTGTTTGTTTGTTTGTTTACAATCACATGTGAGTTGGTTGATTGCACGTTGCAGACCTGCTGTACAGGACGGATTTCTTCCCGGGCCTTGGCTGGATGATGACCGCTGACGTCTGGTCCGAACTCGAACCCAAGTGGCCTATCACGTGGGTCATGATGATGGTGGTGATGATGATGAGGTGATTGTGATGATATTGATGTTGATGATGATGAGGGTGATGATGTTGATGATGAGGGTGATGATGATGTTGATGATGAGGGTGATGATGATGTTGATGATGAGAATGATGAGGAGGAGGATGTTGATGATGAGAAGGATGATGTTGTTGATGATGATGAGGAGGAGGAGGAGGATGATGTTGATGATGATGAAGAGGGTGATGATTGGGGTGATGACGAGGTGTGCCAACATTAAAATGATGATGTGGATGGTGATGTCAGGCGTAGGGGTGCAGTACTGGTAAGTAGTTGAGGGGATGTTTGGTTTCCCGTTGTTGTGTTTTAAGAGTTGGAATGTATATCAGCAAGCCGATGAAATATTAGAAAACAACTAATGAATGACTGATTGGTTGATGAGGGTTGGCTGGGACATTTTTGTATCCACTAATATTTCACGACAGTATGAAAAATGAATACAGGTGCAAAGCAGAATCAGCCCTGCTTTTCCTGCTTCTCTATGGTTGACTCCAGAATATATGAGCAAATTTTCAAAATAACAAAACAAATAATAAAATATTATATATCGAATAGATACGAGTGTTCATAAAAATAAATATATTAACATATACAGACATACATACATACATACATACATACATACATACATACATACATTCATACATACATTTGGGAATTGTGATGGACTTCCGTATGACAGTGGGTCCACAAGTCAGTCTATTGGTTAAAAAATGTATGTTCCAACAACGTCAGTTAAGTCAAGCCACAAAATCGGTAGATAGAGATACAATGACATTATTAGTACATGCTTTCGTTGACTCTAGATTGGATTATTGTAACAGTCTTCTATATGGTATAGCTGATAAACTGTTGTCTAAACTTCAGATGGTTCAGAATCAGGCTGCTAGAATGCTATACCGCAAATTAAAATTTGATCGTGCATCACCAATTCTAAAGGAGTTGCATTGGCTGCGTGTTAAACAAAGAATCACGTTCAAGTTGGGTGTTATGGTATTTAAAAGTTTAAATGGTCTGGCTCCGAAATATTCAGAAGTAAATGTATTAGAGTTTCATCTATATCATCACATGGGCGTTTAAGGTCTGCTGATTCAAACTCGCTGTATGTTAGAGATCGGAATCTGAAAACACAGATAGAGATTTTGCAGTTGTTGGGTCTGTTTTTTGGAACAGCCTACCTATCGAATTACGTGTATCTGGGTTATCATTAGCTTAGTTTAGAAAACGTCTAAGGACATACCTTACCTTAGTGATCTCCACCGATGATGACTTTGCTTTCAACATGCTTTATACGAGGAGAGCGCTGATGAGAAGCAATTATAATTGGCGCTATATAAATACAAATTTTGATTTGATACATACACATAAATATATACATATATACTTCTCATTTAAAAGTTGATGAGGCTGTTGCGTTGACAGCAATCATTTTGAAATAATGATAATGTTGTAAACTTTGAATGCTCTTAACTGCCAACACCAAAAGTCTCTAAATTTCCAACACCAGTGTTGTAGCTTCCAACGATCGTCAAGTGTTCGTTATTTCGTCAGTTCAAGATTTCTGATAGATGAACGCAACTGCTTCAAACGCAAACCTTGTTGAACGTTTATTTGAACATCAATAGCAATAGAAACACTAAGCTAATCCAAGTAACTACATAAATCGCATTTACGACTTCTCTTCAAACCTAGCTATTGACTTTGCTATAACCTCTTTACATACAAGGGATTCTTGAAGACCAAAGATTACAAATATAGCAAAGATAACGAGAAATCAAGATAACAAATAATATAGCGCAGTTTGACCATTGCCGCGATTATAACAGTAATAATAATTTATCTCATATTATGTATTAAGGACATTATCATATTTGCATGCTGCAGAAATTTTTTTTTCAAAAATTTTAAAATGTCTTCAGCAGGTTATATTGATTATATTGAATGAAAAATGTGTAATCGATGAAGCAAATAATTACATGCACAAATAAATTATTGATGAGGTTTATGCTTGTTGTTCTGCTTGCTTGCACGTGTTCTGCTCAGTCTTCGTCGTTATGCTTAAAATGGCAGTGAAAAGAAAAATAAATTTTAAACTCTCTTCATGAATCAACAACATGTTAAATGCTTGTTTTCAGATACAACTAGAACTACGACATGTTAGATGCTTGTTTTCAGATACAACTAGAACTACAACATGTTAAATGCTTGTTTTCAGATACAACTAGAACTACGACATGTTAGATGCTTGTTTTCAGATACAACTAGAACTACAGCATGTTAGATGCTTGTTTTCAGATACAACTAGAACTACGACATGTTAGATGCTTGTTTTCAGATACAACTAGAACTACAGCATGTTAGATGCTTGTTTTCAGATACAACTAGATACAACTTTTTTGTGAAAGAGTTTAGCCGAAACCGTATTTTTAAGAATCGTTGATACTGTCAGTTGGTTCTTGACTGCCAGTTCTTCAGTGTGATTGTTCAAGAATTGTCTGTCTGCTTTTGGTCGGTTTGTTTGATTTTTCAGTCCCTGTTTATCTCTCTGTCTGTCTGTTGGTTTGTCTGTCTTTTGGTTTTTTTGTTTGTTTATATGGCTCTATTTCCCTGTTTGATTATTTGTGGGGTTCGTTTATCATTTTTGATTGAGATTTTGCTGTTATTGTTCAAAAATGGCTAGTGCATAAATGATTTAGTCTAATATTTTTCATTAATTTAATAATTGATGTTATAATGTTACGTTTGTTCATTTTTTAATTTATTTTTTTAATTAAGTAAGTAACTAATTAATCACTTAATGACCCGGAAGGTTTTGGGATGATTGGATGAGGAATCCAGAACAGAGGAAGGGGCGAGCGTGCATACGACCGGAGGTTCCAAGAACCAGCACCTTTGGCAAGATTGGAGTCAGCAAGTTGGTCATCACCAAAGATTAAATAAACGTTTATCTAACATTCGCCAAATATTCATCAAACATTCACCATACATTCACAAAAAGTTCTTCAAATATTCATCAAACATTCATCAATCGTCCAACAAAAATTAAATCTATTTAATTTTAATTAAATTTATAATTAAAATTTAATTTATAATTAAAAATTAAAAAAAGTTGTTGATGTTACAAAAATATCCTTAATTGAAGTTCATAAATATCCCAATTTAACCAACCATCTGTTACTCATTTACTAGCTATGTAGCAGATGTGTGTGGTGAATTTTGCTCTTTGAACTTTTTTTTTACCTTCCTAAAGTTGTTGTTCCAATGTGCATAGTTTTCATTGTTTTTATAACACGTCGTTTGATTGTAAACGTGTCCAGTTCCTTTATTTCATTTCTTCCTCCCTTCGCTTAATATCAAATTCTCTCAATTTCAAAATGAAACTCCAACCAATTTAAAATTTTGATCGAATTCAGCGTACCTTTTCATCTCATTGCACCATCTCATCCAACTCGCCATAATCTTCATCGTATCAGCACATCACCAAACAACAATTTGCAGAGGCCAATATTTTGACAAGCATCTCAAGTACATCAAACATTTCAAGAAGTTTGTCCGTTTCACGGAGTTGGATCTCTCCTATCTATTAAAAGTTCATTCTTTTCATCCTTATCATATTTTCTTATTGGGAATTTGCGTTTGAATTTTTAATTACGTACGCTTGAAAGTTTGAGGTGTGTTTGAGAATCATTAGCAACTAGCAGGTAAAAAGTTTGAAATATTTACAACCAGTTTTTAACAATAAATGAATAAATTTTAATTGAACGACAAGTTTTTAGGTTTTAAAAATTTTAACGTTTTTTATTTATCACTAGTGATATAACACTTACTCGTGTGTGTGTAGTGTTCAATTGTTTGCTGCTTAGAAACAGAGCCATGTTTTGTGTATTTGTATATGTTATTCTTACATACATATGCCTTAAACTGTTTAACAATTGAAAATGAATGGGTACACACTCAATGACACACACGCGCTCACGCCCGCACGGTTATTGATGATGTTTCATTCATTAAAAGAACTAAGAAGCGTATTTAATTGTTTATTATTGAATTTTATTAATCATTATTTTTAAAATAAGTTTTTCAAGCTGCTAAGTCTCAGTTACAATCATCCAATAGGATTGGCTTGGTGTAATCACGCTGCTATGGAAGTCATTCTCCCCTTGTCATAGCCATCCCTTGTTGCATCATATGAAAATTTATTTTGTGGGTGATGCAATGATGAGCTTTGCAGAGCTGGCTGACATTTTTCTTGCTTGCAATTAATTCTGAGATTCAAAATGTTAAAATAATGAGCGGGGTTATACTTAATTCTATAAAAAAAATGTAAAATAAAATCGTTGATGAATTGAATTTTCTTGCTTTTTTTTATTATTTCGTTTTATGATGCTTTTTTGTTTTTCTTGTAATAATCTTTTTCTAAAATAGTGTGTCCTCCACATCTGGAGCGCACCAAATCAAGCTTCAACATGAAATCTCTTAACATATTATCTTAAAACCTAACTGGTCTGATAAGCCCACATGTATATGAAGTGATGATGTGATGGTGTGCGGTCCATTTTCTAACGTTTGATAGTTCGAAGAAACTTAACAAGCGAACAAGAACTTAAGTAACGAATGCTCCATCTTTCTTGTGAGTTAATAGCGAAACAAAACTATCCAACGCTAGAAACCCGGTAGATTTCATAAATTACTGCATTAATTATAGTCTTTTACCAGTATGTTTATGTATATATATATATATATGTTGGAAGGAGACCATATGAATTCTACCAAATTGTTGGCATCATATTTTATACAGTACTGTATGAATTCTACCGAGTTGTTGGCATTAATTAATGCCAACAATTCGGTAGCATTCATACAATACTGTATAAAATATGGTAATGCCAACAATTGCGTAGAATTCGTGTATATATATATATATTTATATATATATATATATATTTATTATTTATTTATATATATATATGTTTATATACTCAAATTTACCTTGTGTTAGCGTAGATTTAATTGTATTAATTGATTATCATCGACGAGCAGGAGAATTATGATGGGCTGTTCACAGGCCAGGTCTACTCGTCACATCTGATAAATTTCAACGACCTGGATGATGTCGCTTCGCTAGCCAAGCAGGCATCGTGCCGCATCGAGTACAATGATGAGAAAGAGTTCATCGTCATCGCTAAGAAACTTTCCATCATGGACGACTTCAAGGTTCTTCACTTCCCGCATTTAATCTCTCTTACTGTATCTCCAACATTGGATGTATCTGCTATATTTCCTCTGTCTGTTGTATCTGTTGCATTTCTTATGTTCGTTGTATATGTTGTATGTACTTTATCTGTTACATTTGTTATACTTGTTGTATTTGTTATGTTTCTTTTGTTTTCTGTGTTCCTTGTATAATACATTTAAAAACAGGCAGTGGCAACTGCAATGACGAAAGCATCAGATAGGTTAATGAAGGAAATGGAATTTGATGTGAGTTCGAGGAAAATGTTCAAAGTAGTAAAGCAGTCAATGAGGGATAGGAAAGATGTTATAGGGAATGGATGTGTTTGGGATGGATCTGGCAAGTTGTGCATAGATGAGGAGGAAAAAGCTCAGGTGTGGAAAGCTCATATGGAAAGGTTGATGAATGAAGAGAATGAGTGGGATGGAGATGTGGAATCCGCGGTCACACACGGACCTATAGAGAAGGTGACGATGGAGGAAGTAGAGAAAGCAGTTAGAGAAATGAAACTAGGTAAGGCAACAGGGGTTTCGGAAGTGGCGGCAGAACATATAAAAGCGAGTGGGGTGATAGGAATTGAAGTTATGATGAGAATTGCTAACAGTATGTTTGATGATGAAGGTATACCTGAGGATTGGCGACACAGTGTGTTGGTGCCGTTGTATAAGGGCAAAGGAGATGTGAGAGATTGTGGGTCATATAGGGATGTGAAATTACTAGAGCACGGAATGAAGGTAGTGGAGAGGGTGCTTGAGAGGAGGTTGAGAAGTATGGTGACAGTTAATGAAATGCAGTGTGGGTTTATGCCTGGTAGGGGAACGGTGGATGCGTTGTTCATGGTGAGAATGTTGCAGGAGAATTATAGAAAGAAGAAACGAAGATTGTACATGTGTTTTGTGGATCTAGAAAAGGCTTTTGATCGAGTACCGAGGAAGGTCATTGAATGGGCGTTGAGGAAGAAAGGAGTGAATGAGAGACTTGTTAAAGCTGTGATGCAGCTGTATGAAGGGGCTAAGACAAAGGTGAGGGTTGGAAGGGGGATGTCGGACGCTTTTAGTGTTAAGGTAGGAGTGCATCAAGGATCAGTGTTATCACCGTTTCTGTTTGCAATTGTGATGGATGTTGTGTGTGGAAACATAATGGAGGGGTTGTTATTTGAGATTTTGTATGCAGATGATTTAGTCTTGATGGCTGATAGCATGGAAGAATTGCAGTTAAAATTTGACAGATGGAAAAGTGTTATTGAAAAGAAAGGATTAAAAGTTAATATTGGTAAGACGAAGGTAATGGTGAGTGGGGAAGGTGGGGAGCGAGTGATAAAAAAATTCTAACTGTCGTTCATGGATATATATATATATATATATATATATATATATATATATATATATATATATATATATATATTCATGGTATATTGCCTTTTTAATGAAGGTCTAAAGTTCAATTCTTTTTAATAAATAGAGCTCTAAGTTTATGCAGAGCAAGAGTTAATGATAAATTCTCTGGCATTGTATCCCAAGCAGTGTGCTCCAATGTAGTGTCTTAATATAGTTATTTATTATTTTCACCGATTTATTATTTTAAAAGTTAATATTGGTAAGACGAAGGTAATGGTGAGTGGGGAAGGTGGGGAGCGAGTGATAAGTAAAATAGACCCCTGTGGGGTATGTGATAGGAGAGTGAAGGCTAACTCAGTATTGTGTATAGGATGTCAGAAATGGGTGCATAAGAGATGTAGTGGTGTGAGGGGGGCACTGAAAAAGGTGGAAGGCACGTTCAAATGTAAGAAATGTGTTCATGGTGTGATTAATAGGACGGACGCAAGGACGGGGTTGAGTGGTGGTATTGAAAGAGTGGAAAGCTTTGTTTACTTAGGGGATAAGCTGAATGCGGATGGAGGATGTTTGAGCGCAGTTACGGCTAGAGTTCGTGTGGGATGGATGAAATTTAGGGAACTGGGTGGGGTATTGTGGGAAAGAAAT